TGTCATTCAGACGCAGACGACAGAGACAGACAATGCGACCCAGAGACCCAGAGCCGTAAAGCAAAAACCACAGAGGCTCAAGCCTGGGAGGAACAGGGCCTGGTCTGGGACTGGAAACGCCTCTGGGCATTATTATTATTCCAATATTAATACCAGTCATGTTATTTGTTACTTATTTCTGTGGGGTCAGCACTGTACCCCCTTACATGATCTCACTTCATCTTTAAAGCCTCCCTAAGAAATTAGTATTCACCTCTCAAAGACAAGTCAATTAAGTTTAGAGACGTTCACTAAGTAACTTGTTCAAGAGAACATCGCATTAAGTGGAAAAACTGGGAATTGAACCTGGGACTTTCTGATGCCCGAGTCCAGGCTCCTGAGCCAGGCCTCTGAGGGAGCTGGAGGCTGAGCTGAAGAGCTGTCCAGCTGAGGGCTGGGCAGAGTAACTGGGGCAGCATCTCTTTGTTATAATCAGGAGAGGGTGGAGGTCATCCTCTACTCTATGACCTGACCCTGCAAACCTGGGCAGAACCTGGAGACCAGGCTTATGGCCAACCTCCTCATCCCCCATCCTTTCTTCCCTGGGAAGTGCAGACACTGCGGGTTACCCACCAGCCACCAGGCAAATAACCTACGGCCCCTGGAAAGTCTCACTGCCGAGATGTACCTGAGAAATACCTGGGGGGGTGGGGGGGGAAGGGCTCTTTCGTTCCGAGGCGCACGGATGTGATCCATTCATAATGAGCTCTGCCTAGGCTTGTAAATTTATTAGGAGAACCTAGTGTAATTAAAATTCCGGGTTAGCAGGAGGGGGAGCAGAGAGACTTTGTTTTCTCTCCTGCTTTCAGAGATCCAGGCCAAAGTACCGATGGGGATAATTAGCGGAGTCCAAACAGAAAAGGAATTAATGCTCCCGAAAAGGCCGTGATGGGGAGAGACAGTGCTGGGCTAATTACGGCCGCACCAAGCTTTCTGACTGGCCGCGCGTCCACCTTCATTAAGGGCTTCAGCGGTAAGACGGGGCTGATGAGTGCTACAGCCCGCAGAGTATTGGCATTCATTTAGCAGTTCTTAGTGTTATTTTGGCAGATGGGGACTGGACCTTTCTGCCTGGTTGGTCAGGGCATGTGGTCCCTCTGAATGTGGAGATCAAGGCTGGGGTGATGGGGGGCGGGGGCAGACAGAGAGCCAGAAGATTCTTTACCCTCCACCCCGCTCTTCCTGTTTATACCTGCAACTCGTCAGGGGAAAGGCCTGCCTGGGCCCATGTAGAGCAAGAAAAACAGATCCGCAATAGAGAGAAGGGGGGGATGAGGGGTGCCGTGTCCCTGAAGCGTCCCAAGCTGGAGGCCCCCTGACTTCAGCTCCTACGTGTGGCCCAGGCCTTCAGTCCTGAGAGGCCGCTTTTTCTAAGCAGGACCAGCAGGGGTGCCACCAAGCTCGGGGGGGCCTTTCCTTCCCCCTTTCATCCTCCACTCCAGACAGCCCCACAGACCCTCCAGAAGCCTGGCCTGATCCCACGCCTCCATCTTCGTCCTCATTATCTGCAGCCACATGTTACCTGCAGCCCAACTCTGTGGGCAGAGAGCACAGAGTGACACTACAACAGAAGAGAACACGTCTTTTGTACAGAGCTCAGAGGGATGGAGCATTCTGGATCCACCTCCCCCACTCTTGATGCCCCCAGTCGGGAGAAGAGAACTTCTAGAACGGTACGTCCAAGGCTCTACCACTCCAGCATGCTGGAGCCTGGTTCTAGAATCCCGAGGCTCAAGGCACACCAGAGGATGAGCAGAGCACCAGGCCAGGTGCGAATGCCAGGATTCTCCAAGGAAGGCAAAGCCTGCAGAAGGCCTTCCTCCCAGCAAGGAGGGAGAGAGGGGCTGATGAGAACAGAAACAGGACTTCTGTGTGTGGATGACACGCTGTGCATTTAATGTGCCATCACAAGCAGGGACAATATTATCTGTGCTGCAAACAGCCAACTTCAAAGCCGGTGGCTGAATCAAAGTACATCTCCAGAGTCATTAGAGAAGTGAACAAACATCACATACATCTCATGGCCATAGGTGAGCAAGGGAATAACCATTCCTGGCTGCCAGCCGAGACGGGGCAGGCAGCTCGGGGTCTCCCCCACAGGCTCCTGCATTTTCTGGAACACCTCCAAACCTCTGCTTGTTACCTCCAGTCCAGAGCCCATGCCACCCACACCCAACGCTTTAAAGCTTGGCCTATGGAAAAAGTTGAAAGATGGAGATTGTCTGCCGTGTCCCCTGGTGGCGGGGGGCAGGGGGTAGGAGGCGTATATCAAGGAGGAAGCAGACCCTTTGCCTTTAGAGCTTTTAAAGAAAAGGGGAACTTTCTTTTAGCTGGGACAGTTTGCGTCGAGGTGTTTCCAAGTCGGGGTCTGGTTGAGATTTCCTGTGTAATTCCTAGCACAGACGCTGGCTTAGAATAGGTCCCGGTAAATGATAGTAGAGTCTGAATCGCAATTGTTGCATCTCAGGGTGTTACTAGAAACCCCGCGAGATAGGGACTTAGAGCAGGAGAAACATACAATGATAAAGTGGACTGGGCATGCGCTAACCACTTGCATTTTTCATGTAACTGCAAATGGAGAAAACAAAACACACAGCCTTCTCTGATGGAGAATCTGGACCCAGGCAGTGGCTCTGGGATGCAGGGAGCAGGCTGGGAGGGGGGCTCCCCGGAGGTCTGGCCCTGAATGCTACAGCATCTCCCCAGACCCTGTGCTCACCTAAAGGGCACGATCCCAAAGCACCTCTCAACCTCTTTCTTTTGCTGTGATCCAGGACCCCCTTCTGCCTCCCCCATCCCTTTCAGCCCCCCAGCTTGGTCCCCAGGGTTCCCGAGGCTTGTGACTCAGCAGGGAAAGTTAAAGTCCCCGAGGGCTGCAACTCAAACTCGCTTTCTGGAGCAGCCTGCGGGGAAGACATACTGGTTCATCTGGGCCCGCTGGCTCGCACTGTTCAGCCTTCTCTCACCCTCAGCCTGGTGGTCAGGTACCTGTCATTCCAGACGACAGGGTGTCCCTCTAGTCAGAACACCAGTGCCTCCCGGTATCAGGATGCTACCCCCCCCCACACACACACACACACAACTACCCCAGCCCCAGCATCTCTGCCCTGGACAGACAGGAGGGGTCGCCTCCACTCCAGATGGAACCCGACAGGTGTGCCCCCACCTTGTATTATCCCCTTTAGGGTTTGAGGGCCCCTCGGGGGTGCATCATTGGAGGAAGGATGGAAGCGAGCTGGAGGCAGGCAGGAAGAGCCTCCCTGACTAGGGGAAATTGTGCATCCGGTGGGTATGGATGGGGAGTTGGGTGGTGTAGGAGGTGATGGCACCGGAGAACCAAAGTCTAATAGCACTGGCCAGGTCTAACCTAGTCTGAGATTCTTCAAGAGGGAGAATCAAGCCTCCCACCTCCATCACCCACCGCCCTCTAAAGTTCCTCATGTCTAACCCGAGTCCCTCCGGCTGTCGCAGTGAACCCCTCGATTAGACATCGCCAAGGCCAGAGAGAGAGCAGCGCCTCCTACAAGCGCACGCGGAGCGGACGTGGGCCCCCCCCCCCCGCGGGCTGGACACAGACCCTCACACACAGGATCCCCGAGGCCCCTACTCCGCCCTCTTCCCGACCCCAGGGGCCGTTCCTAACCCAGGACCTACCGATAGGCCTGACCTTTAACCTCAAGTGAAGACAGGACCCTGGACCCGCGGCCAACCGCCGCTCAGGTCTCCGGTGGTCCCGGGAGAAGTGCGAGGAGATGAAATTCGCGCCTCTCCAGCCCCTTCCTCCTTTTCCCGCGCCGCTGGCCCAGAGCCCCGGGCCATCTCCGCG